TTTAATTGTATTTGATATAATTGAGGCTTATTTCATTTTTTTTGCAAAATTCTTTATAATTTTTATTATATACCAACTTATAATGTTGTGCTTACGCAGCTTTTACAAATTGGTGGCAAGGCCACTACAAACTCAAATCTTTCATCGGAAATTGTTGAATTCTTATCATTTATCTTGCAGATTCATTTATATTACTATTACCTATACTCACCATATAATTTAGCAATTAAAATATAAGGACTGTTACTTTTAATAACTTAAGATAATTTTTTGTGATACATATCTTGATTCAAACTTAACTTGTCTTAACTATATACTAAGCTGTGCTTCGGATAATGCTGAAGAAGGTGCTATCAGCCTGTTATATAAATTTTCCTCCTTTATATCGTTAATTTTTTTTTAGCTCACCCTCTCCCCTAAATTTTCACAGAGTTTTAGCAAAACTAAACCACCACGACAATAAGCTAAGGCCAAATATTCTATTAATTTTATATTTTTTTTAAAATTAAAACTCAGTATTTAACATTGGATAATAATTATGTTAGTTATATTTCCTAAAAATAAATCATCTAAGGAGAATATATAATGAATGATTATTGTTTACTATGGGCGTAGGGTATAGGTTGAATAGGAGAAAATAGGGGCAGATCTGCTTTTAATTTGTATTTGTATTTATATTTTATTTTTTTTGGTGCTATTTTCGATGATATGAATTTTCTTTTTTATTTATGTGAGGGAGGGGGCAGGGTAATATAGTGATTGATTTAGGGGATGTATAGAAATAATTGTAATTAACTTTAAAATCAATGAGCAAATATGGAAAATATATAATAATTCACACCATAATCCGCCACGATCCAAGAATTTCGATGTATGCCCCACAATCTCCCTTTTTCCGACCGAAGACTGGCACTCTCTAGGTGGCCTATCTCCCAGTAATATAAAGTTATAAAGTTAAATTAGGGTATATATAAAAACTTTTATCGTTAATAAAATAATATTAAGCCATAGTAATGCGCTTATAATATCTATGGCTATGGCATAAATATTTTTATAATCTATAACGGTAACATTAAAAAAAGTAGTTAGACTAATGATAACATTCATTCGATAATGTAACTAATATAAGGAGATTAATTTATAGTACATATATCTAAGTATGCAGCATAATATAATATATAATTTTGAAAAGTATTATTAATATTTCATTGAAAATAACATAATTCTTACACATCTTATAACCAGTTATACTTGTCACAGATCTCGAAATTGTTATAACATTATTATTATTGACATGTATATTTTTATCCAAATCAATTCTCTCCTCATATATATATCATATACCCATTATCTTCTTAATTTATTTAAAAAACCCACTATAATATTTAAATTTCTAATTTTACATAGAAACACCTATTAATAACTTATTAACGGTTATCTTTGATATAAAATTATTAGAGAAACCCTATCCCTCGAATCTTAATTTATCGGGAAGTCTCATCTTTCCTTTTCTATGTTTGCTCAAGGAAATAACCTTTTTATCCTTTTTTTTGATATAATTTGTTATCATCTCAAGGAAATTCACATGATTTTCCAATTCCATTTATCAATAGTATACCTAAATGATAATCCTTCAAGAAATATATCGATATGATATTCTGAATGCTAAAAAAGAAAATAATTAAAAAATAATATATTTAATCGGCCTCTTTTCTTTTCTTTTCTTTTCTTTTCTTTTCTTTTCTTTTCTTTTCTTTTCTTTTCTTTTCTTTTTCTTTTCTTTTCTTTTCTTTTCTTTTCTTTTCTTTTCTTTTCTTTTCTTTTCTTTTCTTTTCTTTTCTTTTCTTTTCTTTTCTTTTCTTTTCTTTTCTTTTCTTTTCTTTTCTTTTCTTTTCTTTTCTTTTCTTTTCTTTTCTTTTCTTTTCTTTTCTTTTCTTTTCTTTTCTTTTCTTTATAATCGACATTTTCTCACAGCCTTGTGGAACCAAATGCCCACCTGGTTTTATGCCCAGTCTACCCCTGTGTGGTTACGCATTTATAAATATATATATTATTATATAAAGATAACATCATTCAGATATGTTATCGATCATAATCAAAGGGTTTCTTTTCGATTAAAATTTATTATAGAACTAATCCACATATTTGGAATTACCAGATTAGATACTTTATTAAAAATTGTTTATTCGGGATTATTTTCCCTCGACAAATAATCACTACCCAACCTCATAGAATTTTTCATTCCAAGCTTATCATTCTTTTCATTCAGAAATGTTTAAGGAATAATTATTGATCAGAGTCAAGGGCCTCTTTTCAATTAGATATCATAAGAACTAATCAAAGATTTGTTGTCAGATTAGATCAAAAACTTTTATAACTTTTAAAAATTATTTTATTTTGGGATTATGATTTATTTTTTTAAAAAAATATCCTTTACAAAAATTGGAAATATGTATATAAATATAAAGTATATTAGAAATATTAAAATATAAATTTTCAAAATGATTTTAGATTTTAATTAGCATCGCTTCTTGCAAGTGCATGTAGGGCAACCATTAGAGTTCGTTACATGTCTATGGGTGCATGTCATATATTCGAAGCAGGGCAGATCTTGGCGTACTAATTTTCATTATTTTCATTATTTTTGTAAAAAAGTAAAAAAAAGGAAATTTGAAGAGTAAATTCATTCAAGTTATGCTGAAGATAAGCATATCTTTATTTTAGGAAAACTAAAAAAAAAAGAAGATTTTAAGGAACGAGAGGGAAAAAAAAATTGAAAGTTTTTAAATGATTGACATGACTAAATTAAGTTAATAAGGTATGATTGATTGACGATATATGACTTGCAATATATCTATTATGCAAATATGGCTAAAATGAATTAGGAACAATATCGAGAACAATTAAACACAAATATAACTTCAAAATAAAAGAAAATATTGTATATGGGTTTTAAAAAATCTCTTTTTAGCAGGTGCCTCATTTTTTAAAAAAAAACTAAATTACAAAAAAATTTTTTAAAAAATTTACCAAGTAATTGAATTATAAAGCTGTGTCCTGATTGGTCTATTTTAATTTTTAAAATTCTGGACAGCTGTTATGAATATAGTGATATTTAGATTTTAATACATATATATCACTAATAAATAAATAGTGTCATTTGTTATAACCAGTTCTGGCTAAGAATTCTCGAATTTATTTTCTCTGTTAAAATGATTTCCGGTTCTTATAATATCTTTTAAAAACAAATTTTAAAAATTTTGAAATTTAGCTCTATAATTTTTTTTAGCCAAAATAAAACCCTCGCCTATATCTAATATATATACCAACTCCAATATTCTATATCAAGCATTTGATTTTATGTAATATTCCTTTTATATTAATCAATTTTAAATATCATTTCTCATTCCTTAACAATTGTCTACTAATGATATGATTAATAGCAATAGGCAAAAACACGCAAATTTTACACTTTTTTATTATAATTATTAAGGAGTTATACAACTTAGAGACCTGCAGGCCCGACCCTAAGCCCGGCCCATATATAATTTTTTAAAATATAGCCGGGCCTGGTCTAAGAAAATATCCGGACCGGGCCGTATATTTTAAAACCAAATATTTTAAAGCGCCATTATTAGCTATAAAAATCAAAAATATAAAATATATTCTAATAAAATCCGGGCCGGGTCTGAAAATTTTCTTTAAAAAAACCCAGGCCGGGCCGATAAAAATTTAAAATATGAACCAGGCCGGGCTGTAAAAATGGTGACCTCTGCAGGTCTCTGCAAAAAAATAAATTATCTATCAAATTGACTCCAAAGGGAGACAGACATGGTCTAAATTGTATATATCAATTTCGTGAATACTCTTAAAATGTTAGGGAAATCTCATAAAAGATAAGGATTGTTATTGGATAAATGGGAATTGAAGGAAAAAATATTTTAAACCCAGATTTGATTCATAATTTTAAATAAGACAAATCAGCTGATGTTAAAATACTTCTTTTATTTTTTTTTAGCAATATGTGGCCAAATTCAAAAATTAAGGCAAAAATTGTTCAATTATTTTATTTTATTTAAACTAATTTATAATTTCTTATCATTTAGTATAGTTTTTGTTCAAAAAAAAAATAAACGCTTTCCTTAAATAGGAAATATTTTAGGTTTGCTCTAATTAAATTACGTTGATGAGAACTTATAGGCCCCTCTGTTTTTAAGCTCCTCATTGATATACACTACAAAATTATCTGCTATTGATGCATTAGGGCAAAATTAAAAAAATTCAATTAATACCAGGCGCGTAAAAAAAATTTTATGCAAGCCTTCTTGACCCAAGCAAAAAAGACGGAAATGAGCCTAATTCAAAGTAGCTTCAGAGAATTTTGGCAGACTTCAGGCCAGACTTGAGATGCTCAAAAAAATCTTTCTATCCGTGGGGTATGGCTTGTAGATCTCTGGCCAGGCATTGCTGCGTGGACTTCTAATTCAAATATATTCGTTGTCACAACTTTTATAATTGTTAATTTGTATTTAATTTCTAATATAATATATTAGATCCGGCTTGTTTCTATATTCCACTAAAAATAAATTAACTAAAAATCGTTTTTTTAAGCCTAACTGAGATTTTTAAAAAAATTTTTAAGGTGATTTAAAATTAAATTTAAAATTCTGGTTTTATCCTTTAGTTGCTATTTCAGTTTTAATGATTATAAATAATAAATCTACTGGTGGCCCAAACAAGTTTAAAAGATAAATTTAATGCGATATATATGTTTTTGGTTTTAATTTTGAAAAATTATCAAATACGCTTAAGTAAATTGCGTTTTTTCAAAGGTCCGCTAAATTATTTTTCCTCCTGGGCAGCGAACATGGTATGGCGTTGGTCCCATAACTTTCATAGATGTCTACAACCATCTTAATCAGTTATGAAAAATTCCTATATTATAATAAGGTATAATATTAACTAGGATAGTTTTATTTATTTTATTTTTTTCAAACTTTTTTTATTTATTGGTCAAATTAAACGTTAAAAGTAAAACATATATACGTAATTTAAAAATATATATTAAAAATATCATGTAAACTATTTGTAAAATAAAATCTATATAAAAACTGTATAAAATAAAATTAGTATATTAAATTGTATGTTGGGTGGGAGGTCAAAAAAGGGAGCCGTGGATGGCAATACAGGTAGATCTGCATATATCAATAGATAGGCGCTGTCTAAGATAGAAGCCTTCCTGTGGGTCACCACTGATGGCGCGAATTTTTTTTACCAAGGGATTTGAAGAAGGTTAGGGCATGATTGCCAAAAAACATGATTGTGTCGGATACGATTGGTATGAGATTGCAATTGGTTAGGGAAGTGTATTTATTAATTTTAGAGTTTTCCGCTAGCACGAATGAGTTGTTACTAAACGAGGGAGCAAATCGGTCGATGCGAGTATAATCCCATGCTAATGAAGTTCCATTACTCCAAGGTGTTAAGGTCAGCCCATCTGGCCGTATACTATTCTCAGTTAAGAGGCCACAGGGTTCAAGGGTTACGGGAATTTGAGCTGAGCGTAAAGCACAGAGAATGGTGCCGTTAACTACACTGTGTCGAGAATTTTTACCTTTAGAGAATCGACAATGAAAAGGATGATGTCCGAAACAATCAAAACGGGTTGGGAACATAATGTAATGCGGAGTTAGTCAGTATTTTACAATCAAGCCGGAGACCTATGGCTATGCGTAATTCTTCGTTTGTTGGAGTCTTAAGTTTGAGTTGGGCAAAGCTTCTAACATTCATAGCCCGATAGGGAAGGCAAAAGTTGTGGAACTTGCAGTTGTGGGAGAGAGAGATGATCAACAGTTAAGGATTCATCAACTGAAATAGGAGAATAAATGTGAAAGAATTGATGGGGATCCCTTAGAAGCAGCACTCGATATTAGATATTCAACGGAGTGGCGTATTAAGGGAAGATCCCAGTCATGTTGATTTCGCGATGCAGGGATTGGAGCGGAGAGGGAATTATCTTTCCAGATTGTTAGGGCGTGAGGAAGGTAGGGGTCTATGGGGCTATTGTTAAGTGATAGAATATTTAAGCGGCAGCTTGAATCTGAGGCTAAAAAGGTAGCAAGGCTGAGTGACGTGGGTGATCTTAGGCCAAGATCCCTAAATTTCGAAGGTAAGGAGGCCTGCCTCCCAGAATTAAGGCTGAATTTTATATTGAGGATGCCTTCTAAAGAGTCTTTGATTGTTAATTCTATTTGGATGAGAATTTCCGGGATTAAGAAAAGTAGGGCAGAGCGGAAGGCATGTTGGATTTTTGGGATAAATAAAAAGTTTTTGAGAAGGAAGAAAGCTTGATGGGAAGGAAGGACTTGAAGAATTTTATGTAAAAGGTAGAAATTGCGGATAAATTTTGTTTTGAAATATTCGATTGCTTTATTGCCGCCTATTGGGGATGATGTGTTGTTTTATTTGTGATGGAGCTATTATTAACACAGGAGTCGGAGATTTCTTTCCAATTAAAACTTATTATATTATAGCTAATCAAAGATTTGAAATTATCAGACTATTAAACACTTTATTTTTTTTTAAAAAAATGACTATTTATTCGTGATTATTTAAAAAAAAAAAATAATAAATTATATGTATCATTTACAAATTTAAAAAAATATAATATATTTATAAATATAGTTTTGTTGGTAAAATGATAACGTTATTTCGGTGTATGTCTATAAGTTTAGGTAACATTGAGAAAATATTTAAAAAAAGGGGTTTAAAAAAGGATTTGAATTAGTAAAGCTTGCAGGTACAGGTAGGGCAACCATTCGCATCCAATACTTGTCCATTGGCGCATTTGATGAGTTTAAAGCAAGGCAAATCCGGGCATACTAAAAAAATTTTTAAAAAATTATTTTTGTAAAGTTTAAAAATAAAAAAATGAAAAGAAATTTTTAATAAAATATTCACTCAGCTATGCTAGATTTTAACTCATAGGGGAAAAAAAACTTGGGGGCTGAAGTGTTTTATTAAATAAGTAAAATAAGTAAAGTAAGTAAAAGTATGTTTAATACAAAATATCACGTATATATATATAATGAATTCAATCCTTCAGGTTATGTAATTTACAAACGAAAATTTAATATTATATTCAATTTAAATTCAACAATTACATTTATATTACAGTTCTCCCCACTATAAATTGAATTCATCGTGATAACGTAGTGGGGGTTTTGAAACTCTTTTTTCAAGAGTTGTATTCTCATGTTAATTTTAACACATATTAATTCGGCGAGTGTAATAAATAATCTGCGTAATTATTTCGCTAGATTTGGGTTACCTCGCTACATTGTCTCAGATAACGGTACTCAGTTTACTGGATCTGAATTCAAAACATTTCTTTTTAAAAACAATATAAAACATTTTAGATCGGCCCCTTATAGCCCCAAATCGAATGGTTTGGCTGAACGATATATACGGACGATAAAGACGCGTTTCTATGCTGGAAGGAGATGTGGGACTCCGGACCAGTTAAATTTAGCAAATGTTTTAATTACTCACCGTAATACTCCCAATGCAACTACTGGTAAATCCCCTGCCGAGATGATGTTTGGAAGGTCGCTTAGGACGACATTAGATCAGTGGAAATTATCAACGAGAGAAAGGACGGAAAACGCTCTATGGAAACAAAAGTACTACAAAGATAGAAGTGTTGAACCTCGGGAGTTTGAAGAGCAGCAAAAAGTTTGGATAGCAAACGAAAGGACAGCAGGGTATGAAGGAAAAGTGTTACATCGAAAAAGCGCAATTTTGTACGATGTGGAATCAGAGGGGATCGTTAAAAACAAGCATGCAGATCAATTGAGGGATGCACATACACAAGAGAAGGAAATACCCGTTACGTTGACCGAAGAAGTGGAAAAGGCAGAACATGAGAATACAACTCTTGAAAAAAGAGTTTCGAAACCCCCACTACGTTATCACGATGAATTCAATTTATAGTGGGGAGAACTGTAATATAAATGTAATTGTAAATTGAATTTAAATTAATATAATATTAACTTTTCGTTTGTAAATTACATAACCTGAAGGATTGAATTCATTATATATATATACGTGATATTTTGTATATTATATACTTTTACTTACTTTACTTATTTTACTTATTTAATAAAACACTTCATTGGCGACGATTTTTTTTTAGAGAAGATTTATTAAATTTAAAGTAAAAGACTCAATGGAAGTAGCTCCTATTAAAGTTGAAGATTCAATGGAAGTAGTTCCTATTAAAGTTAAAGACTCAATGGAAGTAGAAGTAAAATAAGTAAAGTAAGTAAAAGTATGTTTAATACAAAATATTACGTATATATATATATAATGAATTCAATCCTTCAAGTTATGTAATTTACAAACGAAAAGTTAATATTATATTCAATTTAAATTCAATTTACAATTACATTTATATTACAGGGGCATATCCCACCCATAAGGTTGGGAAGTTCCTCTAAGAGTAGAGAGCTGTTTTTAGTAGACTCACGATATTAAAGGTAGTTTTTTAAAAAAAAATACAAATTTTGGGGGTTTTGAGATAAGAAAATGGTATTATAAAATTTTTTCTATAAAAAAAAAGGAATTATAGAATTGTTTAAATTATATCAGGAATGCCTTAGGGTGACAAATCACTCGAAACTACTTACAGTAAATTGTTTTAAAAAGAATTTTGATCTATCTTTTAATCTTTGCACTGAAATATCTATTCAGAATAGCATCCTGAAAACCTTTTTTTTCAATATATATATTATATATATATTTATTTCCTATTTTGTTTTTAAAATCTAAAATTTATTTATTTAGAATTTTAAAAATAAAAATGAAGAATCTAAACTCAGCTTTAGGATTGATTTATCAGCCAAAAAAAATTAATCAATTAAATATATAAAAATTATGTATAATTTTAATTTAAAAAAAAACCACCTTGTGGCACGCATTTGCACTCACAACCGTCATTATCTAGAACGAAACCTATCTTACATAGTAAAGCGCATGGTTTTTTAGTTGGGCAATCTGTAAATTAAAAAACAATTTCATAAATGTTGAAGATATTTACAAATTAATAACTAATATTTTCAACATCGAATCTTAAAAGTACACATCGGTTTAACCCATTACAGAGAAAACAATTATAGAGAAAGTTTTATATAAAGAATGATGTTTTTAGAGAATGCACTTGTAGAGAAAACAATTATAGAGAATTTCTTTATAGAGATTATTTATAGAGATTGATTTTATAGAGAATGAATTCACAGAGAATGATTTTATAGAGAATGTATATTATAGGGAATTATTTTATACAGAATTTTATTTAAAGAATATGAATTAATACCATTTGTATATGTAGTTTTTATAAGATAAACCTAGATAATCTACTAATAAGAGCTTAGCAATATTCATTTCGAAATATCAAATAAATTTTTATTCATAATAAATTCAAATAAACATAGTATAAATAATATACCAATATAAAAAATTACAATTATATGATTAAATTAAACATTTAAATTAATATTGTGGGATAAAGCCCTTAAATAATCCAGCATGGTTCTTGAATGAAAATCTTCAAAAATTAAAAAAATCCTTCTGGTCCACGATATTCTTTCTTTAACATTGGAGCCAATAGTCCTAAGGATTATTGTTCCAATTTGTAACGATTCAGGCTATTTTCGTCGTTGAGAGCTTAAAATGAAAATGTTAAAATTTATAATATAATTACTAACTCTTTATCATTTCCAGATCGTCGACTGATAGGAACTTATATAAGGCGAAAAATTTTGATGCCAGCCCTCTACTAAATCATTGGTATTAGATTCACGAGATAGTGACGATTCGTAGCAATTCCATAGAGAAATGCTAAATGGCGCGACTTCCTCTCCATCTCTATCATTTTTCCAATCCACGTCTCTTCAAAGTATTCTATCAAGGGGGAAAGAATATCCCTATTTTCTTGATAGAATACAGAGGCACATAATTCCTCGAATCTATGAATTACATCCTCAACCAGTACATATGCCAGTGACATTAACATTTTTATGTACATATTATAATTTGCGTGCGTTTTGTATGCATTGCAAATTAGCGGATATTTTTAGAACCGCGCGCCATATGCATTGCGACATATTAAATAGGCCCCCGTGCATTGCAGACAGTAGAAACGACTTTTTAAAAACGGATAAAGCTGCTAATTCAAAGTCTATCATAATGAATTTAGGACTTAAAAAAATTTGAAAATTTTTTATTTGATCGAAAATATTAATATTATCTTGTTGGCGATGTGATGTCATCCGAACATAAATAGCGGAGATAATGGCTTTATATTTCATCCTTTGGATGGTGTATATTTGTTAGAAGAGAGGAGGACATGTCTTGAATGGGACATCTGCATACCATATATAGCATGGTTGATAAAAATTATATTTTTGATGGTTGAAACTGTGAAGCATCGGTGATCATGATGATTACTATCATATAACAAAAATTGTTCGTTATTATTGGATAATTGATTATCAATTGGTATGACCAAGTCCGTCGCCAACAAGATTACATTAATATTTTCAATCAAATAAAAAATTTCTAATTTATATAAACCCTAAATTCATAATGATCAACTTTGAATTAGCAGCGTTATCTGCTTTTAAACAGTCGTTTCCACTGACTTCAATGCGCGGGTGCCTATTTCATATGTCGCGATGCAAATGGCGTACTGTTCAAATAAATCCGATAATTTGCAATATATACAAAACACAAACAAATTTTGCTATGTACATAAAAATGTGAATGTCACTGACATATGTATCAGTTGAGTATGTAATTCATGGATTAGGAATTATGTGCCTTTGAATTCTATCAAGAAATTAGGGATATTCTTTCCTCCTTGATAGAGTACTTTGAAGAGACGTATTGGAACAATAATCCTTAGGAATATTGGCTCCAATGTTAAAGAAAGAATATCGTGAACCAGAAGGATTTTTCTAATTTTTGAAGATTTTTATTCAAGAACCATGCTGGATTATTTAAGGGTCCCACAATATAAATTTAAATGTATTTAATCATATAATAATATAATGTATTTTTTTATATTGGTATATTATTTATACTATGTTTATTTAGAATTTATTATGAAATAAAAATATATTTGATATTTCGAAATGAATATAGCTAACATCTTATTTAGTAAATTATAGGTTCATAAAAACTTGGTATTAAAATGGTATTAATCATATTCTTTAAATAAAATTCTTACAAAATAATTATCCATAAAATACATTTTCTTTAAAATCATTCTCAAATCATTCTCTATAAAATTATTCTTTATAAACGATATTCTCTGTAATTGTTTTTTTCTATAAGTGCAATCTATTTTTGTTTTCTCTACAAAAGTGTTTCTCTATAAAAATACATTCTCTGTAATGACGTAAAACCCTGTTTAACAAATTTCTCATGAAGCCCTTAGGCCGCGTCATTATCTCCCCTAATCATGTTTCTTGTCTCTTAATTCTGAAATTCTATTCAGAATATCATTTTAAAAACCTTTCTTTTTTAAAATTAAATTATAGAACTCAGTAAATATCTTAAAAAAATATATATATTTATTTCCCATTTTATTAAATTTAAAATTCACTTTTCAGAAATTTTAAAAATAAAAAAGGACGAATTTGGACATAATTTTAGGCTTGATTTCTTAGAAGAAAAAAAATTGATCAATTAAAATTTTTTAAAAATTATATATAATTTTAATTTAAAAATAAAAACCTTGCGGCACATCATTTGCACTCACAACCGTCATTATCTAGAACGAAACCTATCTTACATAGTAAAGTGCATGGTTTTTTAGTTGGACAATCTGTAAATTAAAAACCATTTCATAAATGTTTGAAGATATTTACCTAATAATCAATATTTTCAATGTCGAATCCTAAAATTTCTTAACAAATTCCTCATAAAGTCCTTAGACCGCGTCCTTAGCTCGACCATCATTAGTGTTGTTAAACGGCTAACTCAATATTTTAGCAAGCCTCGAGATTTCGTTAGTAGATGTTCAAACTTTTGTGCTAACTATGAGCAATTTCTTAAGACTTGCATAATATTTTTCTTAATAAAATATTAAGTTAGCCACATTTTTCTTCTTAATTCTGAAATTATGTTCAGAATAGCATCCTAAAAACTTTTTTTAAAATTATTGATCCTGACTCAATAAATATCTTTTTTTTTAAAAATTCTTATTTCCCATTTTTTTTATCTAAAATTCATAATAAATTTTTTTTTCTATTTGGACATTCTGTATTATTAAAATTTATTCTAAAACAATTGTAACATTTATTTTATAATTTGTTAAAGAAAATAATTCACGTTTACCATATATAGAATTTTCTCCTAAACATGCTTATTCTAATAATACTTAATTCGGGAATATTAAATATTTCGATAATGAAGATATGTAATGATTTTACTGCTTATATTAACATGATAGAAAGAATGATACCCAACTATAGAACAAAGGATAATAATTAATATAAAATTTCTAAGCATTTTTATTCAAAAAATAAATATGTTCACTTTTAAAAAATAATTTAAAAAAATATTATAAACTTTTTGGAGACTTAATCGAAAATAAATGATTTGAATATTAGAAAGTAAAAAAAAAACAATATAAAAAACAATTTTTTTTTGTTTATAAATAGTTTGCCAACAATTAAAAGATCTTTTTAAAGGTATTTAAATTTCATTTTTAAATATTCTATCTTGGCAAAATAATATAAAATTCTTTTATTATTTATATGAATATAAATTTTATTATATATATAACTTAATAATTAATTGTATTAACTTGCCAGGTTATACCTTTCCAAAACAATAAATAACCATGTAATAAGTTACTACAAAAGCAACATTTGAATTTCTTTTTTAACTAATATTGCAAATTGTGACAAATTTATGCCATTTTATTTATTTATTTTTTATATCTGAGCATTCACTATTACAATTGTCGATTTTTTTAAAATAAAATATCTATATAACCACTATTTCGTCATGATGCTTTGTAGTGGTCAGCGTGAGGTAAGGCCCGTGTAATGCTCTGAAAAAGTTTTTCGGCCTTGCCAGGCCTGCAATAAATGTTTGCGGGTATACCCGGTAATTATCTTCTATGTCAAAAAAAAAGTTAAATTAAATTGTCGAAAGCTATTAGAAATCTCGTTCCACCCTTAAAAAAAATAATATAAAAACATGTTTCTGAAAATTATATTTTAAATAAAAATATCTATCGTAAAATTTTGATTAATTATTTTTTTTAGCAATGCAGTTTTTAGTGATATCGTAAAAATATTATAAATATTTCGATAAGGGTTTAATTAAAAAATATTTAATAAATAACGAAAATTATTTTTAAAAATTTGAAATTATTTTTATAACTAAAATTGTCACAATTGAGTGATTTGACATTGGAAATCAGAACCTAAAAAAATAAAAATGTATATACTTAAATATTATGCTAATAAATCTTTATTCAATAATTAACTATAAAAATACAAAGTGAAAAACAAAATAAAATTAATATAAGAAAAATAAATTATCATAATTTCTTCATTACATATTCTTTTTCTTTAATCCTCATTTACATCGAGATTTATTTCTTTTTTCTTGAGTAGATTTGAATATCTTCCGGCTTCGTAATTTTGTTTAAAAGTAATTTGCCTATCTTTCGTTTTTCTTAATCTTAAAAATTTGAATATTACCAAAATTACAACAATTTTATTAATTTTTTTTTAGGTTAGTATATTTTATGATATAAAAAATTTTTTTAAAATAATTTTTAGAAAAATATGTTTTTGCTTCATTTCTTAATCAATTTTTACTAAAATAAAAACTAGATTATTAATCTACTATATAATTTCCATTTACTATTTAATAGTAAAGGAAAATAAAATATATTTATCATCTTATTATGTTTTCAAATATTAATATTGAATTTTTAAATTTAATAAATATTTATCCATAAGAGGGCGTTAAAAGCATAAATATTAGATTATAAAATTACCGCTTGGGTGTAAATGTAAAAGAAGATACATGTAGAAAACTTAAAAACAAAAAATAAATGTTAGGTTTCTTTGACATTCAAACTCTTAGTAATTTAGAATGAAGATAACTGCTAATTATAAGGCACACATTGCTGGAGTCTTGGATCCAAAAATCATCATTTTAATTTTCTATCGCTGATTACTTGTAAAATATTTATTCCAAAAAATATTAAAATATTGTGCTTTCTTTCTTTCTTTCTTTCTTTCTTTCTTTCTTTCTTTCTTTCTTTCTTTCTTCTTCTTTCTTTCTTTCTTTCTTTCTTTCTTTCTTTCTTTCTTTCTTTCTTTCTTTCTTTCTTTCTTTCTTTCTTTCTTTCTTTCTTTCTTTCTTTCTTTCTTTCTTTCTTTCTTTCTTTCTTTCTTTCTTTCTTTCTTTTCTTTCTTTCTTTCTTTCTTTCTTTCTTTCTTTCTTTCTTTCTTTCTTTCTTTCTGAAATCCTGGATGAAAGGCTGCTGTAAATTAGGTATAATAAAATGCATTCTTAAAATAAGAAAAATATTTCTTACATACTTTATTACCTCCTTATTTTAATTATTTTATTAACCATTTAAAAAATAAAAATTGTATCAAATCGTTAAATTTGCAACTTATATACACATATATTAACATTCATTAATAAAATACGCAAATAATTTAAAATTTTATATATACATTAACATTCAAAAAATAAATGCGCAAATAATTATATCATTCGTTATTTAATTAAATTTTGAAATAAAAAGAAGAGCATAAATTTTTATCTTGCTCCTTTTAAATGGAGTTTTATGATTTCAAAAATTTGTGTAATTGAGCTTCAGTTCTTGCAAGAACAGGTACGACAATAATCTGCTTCCAATATTTAACCATTGGGGCACTTGGTTTTGCAGAGTAAATCTTTACAATCTATTTATATATATATTTTTTTAAAGTTAAAAGATAGGAAGGAATCATAATATTCAAAGTCCCTATTAACAAAAAAGCCTAGGTAAGCTCATAATACAGTAAAACCTGGTTTTTAGGAAACCAATGTAAAAATGAAATCAAATAAAATAGAAAAAATTATTGCTATTGTACATATTTTTTTAATTTCGCTGTCTTATTTCTTATATAAAAATAATTTCTCAACGTAAATTTGTAGCCATTATAGTGAGAAAAAAAAAGATTGTCTAAAATGAATATAAATGGGGAGATCGACTAATAATATTATCCATAAAAATAGATGAAATCAAATTTTCCACTAAATGTTTAAAAAGGCTTTTTTTTATCAAGTTTCGGACCGGAATGAAACAAAAATGTTATGGCAAATGATGCGTAGGAAAGAGGGAGCAAAAAAAATACATCTAGATATTAACAAAATTATTTCCCCCAGCAGCAATTGTATATTAATGGGGAATTTCGTGTAATACAGATTAGCCTCAATTTAGCCTACATATATATTTTTTTATAATGTTATCATGGATCAAAATTCTATTATAGATGTTTATAAATTATACTTTTTTAGTGATGGGATACATTGACATCTTTGGCAACCTTCGCTATTGTAAATGAGACCCTTCGTGCATTTTAAATAACAAGGCTCTTTGGGTGGGCAATCTGTCAAATAAATTTTATTATATTTTTTGAAAGTATTATTTTTAATCTGGTCGAAGTCTTTAATAGTTGTAAAATCGCATGATATCCAAAATTGTTTATATAAAGGTATGCCGAAAATTCCTAAAGTGGCTTTGAAAAAAATTTTATGGGTTGTTAAAGTATTTTTTTACACTTATAAAATTGTTTCCAAAAATATTTTTAAATACTGAAATATAGTTTTATAAATCAAAGAATATTGGTAGATTTTTTAATTGACAATACTGAATGCCTTTGCTGTCGTAAATTAAGCCATAAGTGCATGTAATATCGCATACTTTGTTTGGGGAATCTGAAAATTTATAAATGATTTGTTTACATAAATATACTATTCAATGAAACTACGCTTCATTTATTTTTGACGAACTTTGAACGTGAACGCTTTTACGTTCTTTCGATTTTAGAAAATCTTATTTATTTTTTATTCATTTGAAAATAAAAAATTTTTAATTTTATATATTATAAAAATTCAATAAATTTTTTTTTAATTTAAACTTAAAACTTTGAATTTTAAAACACACTAATGGTGGTTTTAAACATAAAGGATGGTGAATAATGAAAGTGAAAGAAAAAGACTTATGTTTTTTAGAACATTATTTTTAAATATTTAAAATAAACGCAAAAAAAATTAAATCACAAATTGTAGTGTAATATATAATATACAAAATTATTCTTAGAATAAAAAAAAATGGATTTAGCAAAACATTTAACAACAAAATATAAATTTTGTCTAATAAAAAAAATCTTTAGGGAAAACCCCTAGAGAAATAAGGTTTATTTTTTAAAAAAAAATCAAAATAAAATGAAATTTAATGATTTAACAGTATAAAATGAATTTCTTTTATATATTAGATGTGTATTGATCTCACTCTCTTATTTTGCTAAAATCAATGCAGCTAGAGAGGGAGAAGGAAACGAAACCATTCGCTAGCTTTATCTGTAGTAAATAATATGTGTGCTCAAAGACCGTTTGAAGACTTATAAAAATTTACTTACATATGCCACTTATAAATATTACGAAGAAATAAATAATAAGTTTTTGAATTATGCCTGGAAGAGACAGATGCTTAAAAGAACAAAGATATAGAAATAAGTTACGCTTATAACTCATACCATTTTCGTAACCATGGTTTAGGACGAAAATAAATATGAAGTTTTGGATTCATGGCTAGGCAATATGCTAAAATGAATCAACAAAGTTATAGAAAAATAAAAGAGCCTCATTCTCTGTTACAGATACAAAAATTTAGAAAGGGCTAAAAAAAAGAGGAAATTGAAGAGAAGTGACATAACATCATCATTTTCTTTTAAATTAATTGACCACCCATTCGAATCTCAATCTCGAGGTTAAACCAGATTTTAACCTCGTTCGCCGCGCCAGAAAACTTAAACAGAATGGCCTAAATCATAATCTCAAAGTTAAAATGAAAAAATGGCTTCAGCTTTAGAAGTTTAACTTTATAAAAATTGGTTCCAACCTCTAGGCTAGAAATTTATGAAAACGTGATATCAATTTATTTTAGTAATAAACGTTTGTGAAATTATCCCCTTCATTTAAAAAAAAAAAACTATATTTACAAATCCATCTGATTATAACAATATGATCCATCGTCATACCTATTTAAAAAGAATATTAAGGCTTAAATTAAATATATTTGTATAAAATACGTAAAGACGTAATTAATCTTCGTGTCCATTAATTAGTTATTGATGCTTTGGTAAATGTGTCCCGCTCTGAGACTAAATCATGTTTATGGCTGCAGAGGGGGGTGATATAGGGTATGGCTTCTACTAGGATCGGGAAAGGAAGGATTTGCAGAGTAAATCCTGATAATGGAATGAGGAGAGATGATTGCATCCCGCCAGGGTAGATACAAAAATTTTATAATATGCAATAATTTCAGAATATATATTTAGATCGCTCGCTCAACCTTTGTTTTACAGATTCTACGAATAGTTGGCACCTGCTTTTGGCGTTAATAATAATAAAAATGGATGAAATGATAAAGTATTTCACCACTGGTATCCAAGAAGATCTTACAGATACATTATTTAAAAAAAAATAGATATTATAAATATTAAACCATAACCATATATTCACCTTTCCCTTAAGATTGCTTTTTTTAAAAAAAATATAAATGTGTAAATATAAAATATGAAAATATGTAAATGAAATTTAAAAAAAATATTACAATATTATTATATCACGAGTTTGTATTTTTAAACATTACTATAAAATCATCAAATTCAAGGCCATTCTTTCCCATTCCCTAATAAGTATTTTGTTTTTCTATTAACTTCCGCCTATTCTCTTGTATAATAAAGTAGCCTTTAGAGCAATGAGAAATGATATTTCATGTGAAGCCCTTAGCATATCAATTAATATGCCTGCTGCTTAGCAATTATATAATATGTTTAAGAAGGGGTATGCCCATTTAGTTGATATTATATTAATTTTCAAGATATTTTTAAATATATTATGCTCGAATCGTTAAGCTATAGCAATTCGTAATGTTGAAATTAAGTAGAGTAGATAATGGTGCCATTTTTTCCCGAAATAATTAGGATCACTAAGAGATGTTACAAATAGCAATAAATGTAAAAAAAAACAAATTAAATATAAAAATAATACTTTCATACTGAAGATACCTTATTTTATAATTTCGTTTTTAGGTACCTAACCTCGGAATTGTTTTTTTAAAAATAATTGAAAATAAATATAAAATTAGGCGTGGGAGATGAAAAGGATAGAAAATATAGTTGAGAACCCCCCCCCCCCCCTCCCTCCTCCAAAATAAATTAAATAAATGAACTCCACAAGGAATATAAAAAAAATATGAGCATGGGTATATATTTTCCAAGGACGCGATATTCTTAATTAAAAATTAAGCTTAGGAGATAGAAAGTGAGCGAAATAATGGAGTTAAACCAAATAAAATAAATGTACAAGCTCATAAGGAGTAATAAAAGGTAATAAAAGGTAAAAACTCTACATCCATATTTTTTATAGAGAATTCGCTTGAAGTCTAATAATATATGAATGCATTAATTATTAGATTTATATCGTATTGTATTCTTAGCCGTGGGGTTACTGGGGCCGGTTATTACTTTGTCTAGAAATAAAAGTTAAAGAACGTCAATCATTCTAGAATTTTATAGCTGAAAGCCTCTTTTCCTATAGAGAATTTAATAAACGGTAAATATTATTTTGTGCAATTTATACGCAAAATTAAAGTTAAATGTAATTTAAAAGGTAAACAGATGTTAAATATTAGGAATTTATAAACAATCTATTATTTATATTTATTTCAACTTATTTCTCATAGACTAAATACACGTCTCCCACTCCCCCCTATGTTTCGGGTTGAATAAAAACCTATTAAAGCCTTTTCGCTTAAAAAGCGTATTAAAATTATATATAATATCTATAAGGAGAATGAATATGAGAACACTTCTATATTATATAAGCTAACTTGGATAGCTGGCACCGTCAAATAGCAATACACAAAAATATCTAAAAATAATTAATGACTTATCAGCCAAAAACTGATTGTTAATCACCTTTAAGAGAGTATAAATATCAAAAAGTTTAAACCGGTTTGTAAATATTTTTAGAGGTTCAACTAAGTTCGGATGACAAATTAACCGTTCCTGTTCGGTTTGGCAACCGTTAATACTAGTTTAATAATTTGGTTTAGGTTCGATCCGAATCACTAGAAAAAAGGATAAATATAATTATAAGCTAAAAAAATTTGCAAACTTTAGGATAGGCCCATAAAAATTTTTATTTTTCACGCAGGTCACTCTGCCCGGCCCGAAAAATCTTATCTTCAAGGCGAGATTTTTCCTCTTATCAGGGTTAATTGCAGAAGTTTTTAACTTTGAAATATTTGGAAATTTTTATGGAAGAAATAAAAATTGGTGGAGGAATGGCACACAATGATTATATAGAAAAGAATTGAATTAGTTGATAGTAGTTCTATATGCATTTGGTTTGTAAATTTTAAAAGTATATGTCTTAATAATTAATTCGAAAAAAGCAATTATATAAAATTACAAATTATAAAAAGGCGCAATATTGATAAAGCAAAATATCGACGATATTAACATTATAATATAATAATTAAAAAAAAATTTTTTTCTTCTAGAAACCTTCTACATTATTATATTAAAATAAAAACGCATAATAGTGGAAGATAATTGAGAGTTTCGTAATGCTAAAATGCACCCATGCATTTCAAATGGTATCCTGCAAATTGCAAACAATTATAAACGTTTATTTTACGAAAACGCTTAGGCATTATATTTATAATTTCTTTAAAAAGGATTGATTTCTCATTACTTAAATATCATAAAAGTATTAGAAAAAAAGGCAAATTGAAATACCCTCAATTCATTGCTTCGAGAGATCAAGTCCTTGTTTGGGAATCTTCACTTGAATAATATTCATTTAATCATAGATGCTCTTACTCTAGATAGAATCTTAAATAACCAAATAGAATTCCATTGATCTTCCTTTTCTTGTTCACACTAGCAAAATTTAAATTTGGTACAAATAACTAGGGAATTTATGAAAATATCGATTAACCTACTCTAGGATAAAGGTTTGCTAATACTATTTGTTTTACTATCTCAGTTTTATACCTTCCATTGAATAATATCCCAATTTTTTATCTTTAATAGTATATCTTCTTCTCTCCCTCTACATTCTTCCCACTTCTTACCTTTTCTCTTCTAAAATGTTCGAACTTCCCTTTTCTAGTATATATATTTTATTATTATTGCATAAAGTTTCTATTACATTTTTAAAAAAAATAATATTATTCTTTCAATATTTTAATAGCAACTAATTTTAAATATAATTCGAGTTATTAAGGTTGCCAGATTTCCTTCAAATAAAAAGAATTTCAATAACTATTTCGTTAAATTTTTACTTAAGAAATGTGCACACAAAATAATTATATAAATTCAGCATATAAAATAAATCTTATTCATTTTTAGAAAATTTTATACTACAATTTAAATTGTTAATTTTTTGTTTTAAAATCAAGTACTGAGCAAACATTTAATCAATATATGCCCCTCGATTTCTACATGTCCGATTGAATATTTTTAGAAGTTTAACTCCTGTTTTATTATTATATTTAAAATAGTGCGGTATTATTGAGAATGTTACGGTATTTCCACATTAATAAAGGAAATGCATATGATATTCCTTCAAAACCTCTAAAATGTGTCTCTTTGTGGTAACTGGTAAGACCTTAATATTCAAAACTATTTAAGATTATATTCTTCTACATCTTGGCAATTTTCGAATGAGGAAACAGAATAGACAATAGCAATAAGTTTGCAATGAAAACTAAGCGATTTTATCCTGTGATGGATGAATGGTCGGTTTGGATATTTACAGGAATATCATCACATAAATTATTGTTTTCAAAGTATGGCTTGATTATGACTCCTAATTTTTTAAAATGAGTAATATAACGTTAAATGTTATTAATTTTTTTAAAATATGTTATATTAAAATATTAGATACCGTTATAATTTTATCCTCATATACAAATAAATTTTATGGTTTCAAGCAGCATTTGTGGCCTAGTCGGTCCGGTGCGTATATCACAATTCTATAATTTGGGTTCGAATCCAGCAAGGGTCATCTTTTTTTCTAAAGCCAACTTGGTGGTTCCAGTGGGATGATATATAGTAGATCGAACTTGACCACGTGATTCCGTTTTTTGACTTTTTAAATGCTTTTCACGACTCCTCCATGTTAATTTTTTTTAATTGTATATTACAACATTTAAATTTTAAATATTTTCTTTACCTTTCTCTTAGTCATTTGGTGGAATTCTATGTTTTTATATATTGCGTTAAAAGTCATTTGATGTTGTTTTTTTACAAAAAAATCTTTGTAAAAATAGAAATTTCAACTAGGAGGAAATTTAATTTAACTAATCAAAAAATCGTTTAACTTTATAAAACTAATTGCAACTTAAAAATTGCGAAGACGACTTTTTTCGCATTTATCCATATAAGACTCATTTTCAATAGAAGAAGTTATTTATCATATTTCTCTGTTGTAAAATTATAATAAATTAAATATTTTGTTTAATAATAAAAAATAACCATAAATATGTAAGATTGAATTAGAATAAAAAATAAGTTTCTGGTTAGACTAATTTAAAGTATTTAACATTTTATAATAAAATATTTCTAGAGTAGTCTAAAATTTATTATAACAAAAATTAGGGAGAAAGCGTGAATTAATAGACAGCGTATCTTAGCGTAAACAAGAGTAAAATATAGGGAGGTTAATGCAAACCTTAGGTATTAAATATATATATGACTCAATGCTTTACAAACTTGCAATACTAAATTATGTATTATAATTAAAAGCGAAATTATCCAAAAAAGAAGATCTAGGGGGCCCTATTATTTGTTTATTATCCTATCATAATAACCTTGTGGAAATCCCATGTTTTGAATTTCAGAATATAATTTTTAATTACAAATCCTCAGCCAGGCTTGTAGCGTTAATATCACCAATAAATATTTATATTACTATTCCCCTTTTCACTTATACTCTTCCTTTTTTTTCGTTCATATTTTGATTAGCGGTTGTTTTATTACTATTACAATTTATTTGGTGGGTATTTTTCTCCCCTCATCTCTGTCATATATTAAGTAATGGAATTCAAAAATCATTATAATTTGGAATAATTTATAAATATAATTTTTTTTATAAATAAATACAAAAGTTATAATAAATTTCAAAAAAAAATTTGAATTAAAAAGATAATATCTAAAATTTTGTGTTTCTATATTTAATTAGAGCCTTTCAAGAATTTTTTGAGTTGGTATAATTTGGTTTAAGGTTTGCAAGCACAGGTGCGACATCCATTGGCATCCAATACTTGACCATGGGCACATTTAATGTACTTAAAACAAGGTAATTCTGGACACACTTTTTTAAAAAAAATATATTAAATATAGGCAAAGGAATTCTTAATAATGTTGCTATCATTTAGCTAGTGTTGTCAAACGGCTGGATTTTTTAAAAAACGGCTAACCTAAGTGTCTCAGTTATATATAGTTTTTTAAGATGCGTATATTTAAGTATAAGGCAACCGTCAGTCAACAATATTGCATATTGTTGATTGGTCGGAATTAAATAATAATAATAATAATAAATAAAATGATTATTATGATATGTGAAAAATATATAATTTTTTTCGATGATGTTATTCATTATTGAATTATTATAAGATTATTAAATTATTGGATAAAAATATGTAGTATTTTTTTCAATTAAAAAAAACATTATTTTGACTTATTGAAAAATTGATAAATAAAAATATTTAATTAGTTTTTAAATCGTGTCCTCTTCATTATAAAGCAAAGCTTAATTGAAAATCTAAGTGAGCAAAGGTAGTAAGTTATCAAAGACAGAGTTAGATGTACTCTGATTTTAAGCCAAAAATATTAAAGCACGCTCTGGAAATTTTACTCATAGAAGGCAGAGTTTAATCTATTAGCGAAATCTAGAGGTTTGCATAAATATTATTTTAGACTAATATCTTAACTACCTATATTTTACTTAAAAAAATTATAACTCTTAAAAATATAAACAGATAAAGATTTCTAGGTATTTTATAACGTCGCGCGTATATTTCCTGTCATCACCAAATCTTATTCTAATCCTAATAAATGTTGTTCATTTTATTTATCTCTCTAACTAGTTAAAAAGTGACTTAGAAAGAAATCTATACTTTTTTATATTTGTATTTTTTTGTTTTTTTTTTTAAAAAAAAAGTTTTATTGTAAAATTTTTAAAAAATAAACTTTTGGGAGTTGTATTTGATGATGGCGGAACGCACTTGCACAATTGGCATCCGTTGATATCTTTCTGTAAGCCATTAATACATCGGAGGCTGCATATGATGACTTTACACTCTAATAGAGAAATTTTGATAATATAATTTTTTTTTAAGAAAAAAATATTCATTGTTTAAAATAGGAAGAAAAATACGAATTACCCATCTATCAGATTAAACGGATAAGACTGAATTTCCTATAATACTTAATAAATTGAATTATTATGATTAAAAAGGTAATATGTATATATAGTATAGTGTTGTTAAACGGTTCGATTTTAAATAACGGAGCTAAAGAATATTACCCAATTCTGAAAGATTTTGCTCATATATTAGGGAAAGGTTTGGCCGGGACTTCCATTAATAAAATTTAGAGGCTTGCAATAATATTATTTTGAACTAAAATCCTAATTTAAAATTGGCGCAAATCGAGCCGTCTAACAGCACTATATACGTTTGATGAGATATTCAAAATAAAAATCAGATTAGGTAAAGGTGATATATTTGTAAGCCCGAAAATTATGCTAGTATAAAAAGAAGAAAAAAACACATATTTTTTTTTAAATTTTTGCAAATTTGTTTATTAAATTAAACTTTTATCGAGCTCGCTTCCAATTGTCATTTGACCAAGAACCAGTAAACCCAGTACCATCACACCCCAGAAATTTATAAAATTCATATTTAATTTAATTTATTTTTCTAACAAAAATAAAATGTGACTACTCTAATCGAAAATGTTAAATGTACATTTCACAAAAACATGGCAATGGTTGTGATATTTTAACCTTCAAAGAATTTAGATGATTTATTATATTTGGTAATGTTAACTCTAATATTTGAGATAATATGAGATTTTTTTTTCTTTATCTCTTACAATATAGATGAACACTAGTAGATAAGAATACTGATGATTTTATCTAGCTCATCTCATCTACAATTGTAATGCTTTTTCTATATTCTATTTATTATTATTCAATTATAATGCAATTTAAAAAAAAAACTTTTTAAAGGAGTATAGCATTGGCACATTTGACAACCTTGATCATTGAAGATAGGATCTCCAAGGCACCTAATATTGCAAAGCCTTTTGGATGGGCATTCTGTAAATTAAAATAATTTTTAAAATGAAATTTCAAGTGAATTTTTTTTACATCTCTTTTGCCAAATTTCTAATTAAGGTTTGTCAAAATAAAATTTACAAAATATTTAGAAAATGTTTTCTTAAAATATATATATATATAATTACATTTAAACAAAGGATTATTATCCAACATAAGGCATTGCCATTACAACAACTTATTCCATTTATAATCAAATGACCTTTCTTTCTTTCTTCTTCTTTCTTTCTTTCTTTCTTTCTTTCTTTCTTTCTTTCTTTCTTTCTTTCTTTCTTTCTTTCTTTCTTTCTTTCTTTCTTTCTTTCTTTCTTTCTCATATCCCTCAAGCCGTAAAACCTAACCCATATCCGACTAACCCTTAATTCTGTTCCTTATTTTAGATAAGATACCTGTTTAATTTTAAATACATTCCTCCAATTAAAAAAAATTTCCTTCAGTTTCACATTCCTTGAGTTAAACGATTTTTTAAACAAAAATAGCAACAAAAAAATATATTATTTTTAACAGGAATGTTGATGCACTTTCCCCAGTTGATTTGAATAGCCTCACCCATGTCGGATAGTTAAGTGACAAAAATAAATCTCATTATTCCTTATGTTTAATATATCAGAAGTTTTCACTTTCGGCTTTCGGAATACATTGACATTGCTGACATCCCTGGCTGTCATAAATCAATCCATAAGCACATCTTAGATTACACTGTTTGTTAAGGCACTCTAAAAATTTATAAATGAGTTTGTATATTAGAATTTAATTTATTTTTTAAAAAATGGTCCTTTCCTTAATTTTTTTTTGTAAAAAATAATATAAATAAAATTAAATGAAATACAAATTTTAATAGTTTTACACAAAAGAAACACAGGACTGAAAACTCTCTCATTTTGGTTTTAAGTTGAATAAAAAATCCATGAATAAATTTTTAGGCCCAATGCATATGGAAAAACTAATGAATAATAAAAAAAAATTTATAGTCACAAAATCGTACTAAAAGCAATGACATATATAATACCTAGACTGACGATTCATTTATTAAAAGTGTACATCAATGCAAATCAACTGGAGACGCCATCTTGGTATACTAATCATTATTAAAATTTTAAACGAGAGCCTAATTTAATCCTTATATCTGATGCAAACTTTATTAAAGAATTACCGGATCATCGAGATAATAAGGAAGCAAGTTATCAATTTAATAGTAGTTTTTAAACATGAGAATAATTACTATATGTGTTACCAAAATGGCGGGTCCAGCTGATTTGCTTTTAACGACGCTTAAAAATGCATTTTAATGAATAAATCGTCAGTCTAGGTATTATATATGTCATTGACTAAAAGGTGTTTAATAATATAAGGGAATTTTTTTTACACAAAATGAAATTAAAAAAATTATTCCATGAAAAAATTTTTTTTATTTCATAATGAGAGTGAGTTAGAAAAAATAATTATTGAACTCTGAAACCTTAAACTTTTTTAAAGGGTTCAGGTTCTGGCGTCATGTTTGGTTTTTTTAAGGTTCTAGATCAGGAGAAGGAAGGGGGGTTCTCAGCCCTGATTTAAAGGATCATATTTTTAATTTAGAGGGAAAGGAATTAATAGAACTTGGAAATGCGAAATATAACATCTGGGTTAGTGTTAGGGTTGCAAAATATAAAAGAAATTTAAACTCTTATATAATATTTTAATTAAATACTACTATTTATATATTAAAATAACCTTAATTAATACATAAAACTGAATAAAAATCAGAAAAAAATCTTCAAAAAGTATATTTTTGATCAATTTCTACCTTTGGAACTTATAAAATCTTATTTAAAAAATAAAATAAATAGATTATAAGTAAATCTTTTGTAAATTTCATGCTTAAAAAATTTTTTAAAAAGAAATTTACAAAGATATTTTTAAAGATTTTTCAAAATCACTAATAAATGAATTTTAAAATTTTTTTTAAAAAGAGAGAGTAATGATTTTTTTAAAGAAATATTATAAAATATTAATTAAAATGAATTAAAAAAATTTTCGAATTCCTATTTTTATTAAATTTTGGCGTCAATTTATAATAAGAGATTAGTTAAATATAAGCCCTGCCCATGATCTCGATGTGGTATTTCTTCATAGCTTTCCCCTTTTTGCCCGATTTGAATTATCACCTTATAAAATCCAATTATAAAAAAAATAAGAAATACTTTTTTAAAAAATAATATCTGAAGGTTGGAAATATATTTATCTATTTACAAGGGTTGAGCAGATTAAATTTAAAAACATTTTCATTTTTTTTTAAAATTCTAATAAATTGAATAATTTAACTTGTAAAAAAATTGATAAGAATATATAAGTATATGTAATTTTAACAATGTTTTTGCAAGTCAAATAATTTTATTTTCAAATAAATTAAATAAATATCTAAATCTTTTGAATTAAATCTGCACAACACTGTATTTTCTTGTATTATTTTTGTATAAATTGAATAAATAAGTATGGAAAAATAAACATTCAATTTTAATTTATTGCTTCAAATATGGTTAATTCTAAATGAATAACATTACTAACACAAGAGAATAAGAATAATAAATATTATTTTGAATTTAAAATTTCCTCAACCTTTTATATGTTTAAATATTAGATCCAAATCTGATCTAACTCCAAAAAAATTGTCACTGGATCGTAAATGGGCTTGGGTTAAATTTTTAATTTGATTTTACAGGTTTTCAAAAGCAATTTTTTAGGGAAGAATTTTGAAAAAAAGAATTTATTTTTTTATGAAAATTTAAATTTGCAATGATTATACTTTTGTAATTGAAGCGGTAGTTAGGATAGAAAGGGTAACAGACAGCGATTATAGAGAAGAGGATTAAAATGTGGGATAATAAATATCTTAGCATTACTTTCTCATTTTTTTTTTTCAAAAAAAAATTTTTTTAATTTAAAGAAAGTATATTTAAATTTTAAGGTAAAAAAAAATAAACAATTTAGTGTTTGTACACTAAAATTCGTCTTTGTTTTTGTTTTGACAAACAATTTTATAATTTAAATTACAAATTTTTGTGTAATATAACCTATCCACTTTGTTATTTATCTTTCCAGCAAAATTCATACCAGTGAGAGTTAAATTTTTTTTTGAACGTCTATAGTGATTTTTTTGGCCAAAAATTAATTCCAAACTTAAATTTTAATTAAAAATAGAGTTTTAAATTTATCGGATTATAATAAAAAATAATATTAAAATATTTGCCAGCCTACCTTATTAACCGAAACCCAGCCCATTTGGGATAATTCCAACACTCTTCAATATTCACAGAAAGATTGGGATATTCCACTCAATGAAGGCTTATTCGCTTATCAAGAATCGTGCCTTCAAAATGAGGATCTCACAGTTTATCACCACTTGACCAAGAATTTCTGAAAATCATAACCTCTGCTTTCCGCATATGAACGAAGGTTTGCTATTGGGTTACGGCCCATGGCAAATGTCCTACCTTGCTAAAAGGTAGGCATTGCCTCCATTGTCGCTTTAGTCGAGGCCATTTCTTACGGCACACACAATGTAACGACTTTGAGGGTTTAAACTTGAGGGTATCCTCTCTAGACTTGAAACAACTGGCATATATAGAACCGGAGAAAAGCGACTGATGGAATATCCTTAATTCCTTGGTCAAGGGGTTCTCTTTTGATTGGAGACTTTATCTGAATTGATCCAAATGTATTATCCAACCCTAATGTGGAAGCTGTGGTCCTAACAGAAACCCGGAAAATCACCAAATACTGTTTCATCGATCCTTTTTACTCATTCACCCATCGCCTGCTCCATTCTCACCCCTTACTGCAACAAAGCTCAATTTTAATGAACTGAGAAGCTTTTTTTAGGACAAAAACCTTATATTTATATTAATATAGGAATGCTTTTTTTCTGTATTTTGATGACATATTTCGATCAGATTTAACAGAATACATATTTCGATCACTTTTCATAATTTTAAATAGTGTGTAAGGAGATTAGAACATGAATTATAGGTATAATAAATAAATATACAATATATCATAGCTAAAAATTAGATTTATTTAAAAGATTAGGTCATTTTTTAGAAGTTAGTGAAAGTCTGAGTGAAGGGAATCTAGAGATATCTAATAATTTAATCAAAAAAAACCCAAGGTATATTACCTTTTTTAAATACAGAATAATCCAAAGGAATATATTTCATTAATAAATGTATAAAATAATTTATTGAAATATATTTATATAAAATTCATGGGAGGCATATTTGTTGATTATTTGTAGACATTAAGATATTCACTCCTTTAGAGTTTTAACTTAAAAATAATAGTAATGTAGTTATTAGAGTCAACCTGTTTTTTATCCGGCAATGTGTTATTTTTTACTAATTTAAATCATTTTTTGAGCCGTTTTTTTTAAATGTAAAAATCGAATTTTTACTGCAATAATATTTTATCATGTTTGGTATACCCATCTTATAAATTTTGGAAAATATTATCGTTAACCTTTGAGTTATTTATAATTTATATTAAAAAAATATATAGAAAATTTAATATAAATAAATTATATTATTTTTAAAGGTTCATGTAAAAATTATTTGAAATTCATAGGGTAGGTATTCCAAACATGACGGGATACATTTCCGGTTCAGATAGATTTTTAAATTTTTAAAATCAAAAAATGATTTAAAGTTGTATAAATAACAAATTGCCAAAAAAAACACGTTTACTCTAACACACACACATATATAATAATTAATTATATTTGTTATTGCTTGAATTTCCCAATAATCCTAGCAGTTAAAAATTATTATATTTATGTAGGAAAAATCAAATTCATATGTTTAAACCAATGACATATTTAATACCTAGACTGACGATTCATTCATTAAAAGTGTACATCAATGCAAATCAGCTGGAGACGCCATCTTGGTTACACAAATAATTTATAAAATTTTAAACGAGAGCCTAATTTATTCCTATATCTGATGCAAACTTTATTAAAGAATTACCGGATCATCGAGATAATAAGGTAGCAAGTAATAAATTTAATAGTAGTTTTTAACATGAGAATAATTACTATATGGGTTACCAAAATGGCGGGTCCAGCTGATTTGCTTTTAACGACGCTTAAAAATTCATTTTAATGAATGAATCGTCAGTCTAGGTATTATATATGTCATTGGTTTAGAGAAACTAGTCAAAATTTTAAAATATATGTTTTAAATAGTTTTACCTATTCAAATATAAATACATAATATAGAAAATTGTATTTATAACAAAATTTGATAATTTATATGCTTTAAGGCATATATGGTGATAACTATTTTTATAAAAGACACAAATTGATTTCTGATAAATAAAGGATTTAAATCAATCGAATAATTGAGAAATATTTAAATATTTTATTCCCGAGATTTCACGATTAAACTATGTTAATTGTAATATTAAAATTTTCATTTTTCATTAATTTATTAAAATTTGATAAATTTCGAACATTTTTAAATTCTTATTATTTTCAGTGGTATTAACAAGATGGAACTTCACCCCCCCCCCCATCCTCCCCCCCTCCTACCTTTCATTAAAAAATATTGATTGGGGGAAAATTACGTCTTTCCATAATAATTTGTTATTTATCTAAATGGAAATACGTTTTCATTTCTTTAATTGAAAAAACCCCAAATATTCCTACTTCCATAAATGTCATAAATTTATTTTTATATACGGGAAAAAAAAGTATACGATATATTATCTAAAAAGATGTTAGACACGTTTTATTCTTAATATATAATTTCAACATTAAATTTCTTTTTTGCTTTTAAATTACAAAAAAAAATTAAAAATTGGATTGCTTCCCAATGATTGTGCCATAATATTTTTTTTTTTAAATTTAACTAAGTTATAAATGGTTACTGTGTACTGACGGGACTAGAAAAGCTGATTTTTTATATAGTAAATATCAAATAATAAACATTTCTACAACCCAAGTTAGTGCTTCTATAATATTTATTCTTTAATAAAGGCGATCTCAACAATTTTTTGAAATAATGTAACTAGTACCATTTAAAATTTTTAAGAATGCTTTCAAAGGTAACTTGACAATACTAAAATTAGATTGACGATTCTTTTATTAAAAGTGTACATGAGAGTCAGCTGTAGACGCCATTTTCTGATCTGCGTGTAGAATAAATTATATTTATCTTTAATATATATTGTTTACATATATATTTTTCCATTTAGTTAATGTGTAAAATATAAAATAGAGTCAACATTTGATTTCTAAGTATATACAGTTTTAAAAGCATTTTAACGAATAAATCATCAATCTAGTAGGTAATATATTTAAAATCGTATTAATGCAAAACGGTTTAAGTAATAAATAATCAGATATATGCAAAGTTTTTAAAGTCCTTATATATGTATTTATATAGTAAATAATATCAATCAATTAACGATTGAGGAATTTATCTAATTAAATTACATTTTAGAAAGAAAATAATTGTAAAAATATTTATAACTTTATTTAGCTAATTATTTACATAATACAATATAATTAATATTTGTATATATATTTATATACATATAAAAAAAACATTTTAAAAAAATAAATAAATATAGTATTGGAGGATATGTTTGTGACGGTGTTAAAAAAATAATAAAAAAAAATATATTGAGGTTAGGAAGGATAATCTTGTGGGGAGAGACTGCTTATGAAGCTAATATAATTAGCCTTGTGTATTGCGAGAGCCTTTGCCTTAAGAAGAAGCCCTCGCACGGTTCACCGGTTAGTTGACGAATGTGGGAGCCGAGTTCCTTGAAAAAGGATAAGGCATATTTCCCAAAAGTAGTAAGGGTAGTTGAAATAATGGGGATGAAAATATCATTAAAAAATTGTTAACTGTTCAAGTTTATTTATAATTTGAGAAATGCTTAATTTTAACAGGGATATGAACCCTTCCACAAAAAAAGGGTCCAGGGTTCGGGTTCAGGGAACATAAAAATAATGACTTAAAATAAGATTTTTTTCATTCATTTATTATTATACTATTAAAAATTTAAAAATGAAATAATTTATATTTTAAATTTTTTATTCAATCGCACAATCATGATATCTTCTAAAATATCTTCCTTGAGATTTCCACGTAAAGTAGACAATATATATTTTAAAGATGAAAATTCACGTTCTACCCTTACTTAAAATAGATAGTTATCTTTATAAAATTATTGTACTTGTGTCGCCGGTACAGTCATGAAGGATAAGATGTATAATTCTGGATATATTGAAGAATTTTTTGTCAGAATTTTAAAATATTTATATCCTTATTTATTCTTTTAACTTCTGAGAACTTTACTATTAAAGATCAATAGGTATTTATCCTATCTGATGATAATTGATATTCTTTCAAAAGTAAAATTTCAAAATCATCAATGTTGCTATCATTATTATTATTGTCACTAGAACCAGTAGGTATGTAGTCTCCAAATATATTGTAAATAATGGAGTTTTGCGTATGCCATAAATCTTTAAGATGGTCTTTAATCATTTGTTTTTGTTCAAAACTCAATAAAACTTGATATCGAGGGTCTACATATATAGAAGCGTATACAACACTATTTTGTAAATTTTGTTGCTCTCGAATTTTCATATTTTCTAATAATACCTATAAAAAGGACTGTAAATTTTTCTAAATCTAATCGGGATCTAATCGGCATCTAATCCATATGCCATAAAAATCAGATAAACATAATTGTTCTGTTTATAATCTTAATACTGTTATTTTTAAAATAACTAATACACTAGTAAGGTCATTTATTTGGTACCAATCATCTTCCGACAAAATGACTTCACATGCTTTTATAATAAAATCATTAATCGTTTTAGCATCAAACAAATTGAGGACCAACGTGTTGTGCATTATCATTTAA